TCTCCTGTTGAATTCTCTCACTATACAGACAATCCAGGTGAAATAGGCTAGCGTCAAAGTAAACATGACCTTTGCACATGAATACCCTCACATTTTCGAAGAAAACGATGTGACACAAATATTCATACTGAGTAGTCGTATTCACTCGAATTAATTTTAACGACACCTTTCATTTAACGAATATAATATACACTTGAACTTCATGTCATGTATGAACATAAAACACGCAGGAAATAGGAAGAAATTTAAATATAAAAGTGAAAACGAAGAGTATTGAAATTCGATCCTCGATATTCTAATAAAATTAGAAATGTTATAATGTCTGATATGCTTTCTTTCAAAGCCTTTCGTAAATTATGTAAATAACACTACATTCTTCTATCTTTTATTGAAATATAAATGCTACATAGATACATTCAAAATCACGTTGTAATGTTCCTTGTTGATAAATATAAATGATTCTGTGACAAAGTGCACTTTTAATTGCTCTATTTATGTCGTATACACAAAATTCGACAAGTGTATGTGGATTTCTATAGCTGACTATATTTCGAATAATTATTTCATACAATTACATACAGTTACAAATATACTACTTTAATTTACTACTTTGTGTTTTACCAATAAACGTTTAATCCCGCCAACTAAAACTCCCACAAAATTACTAAAGCGCGGTTAATTATGGGTCATAAGGTACGTTAACAAGGACGGATTTATGGTAATAACCAACGTGGAAAACTAAGATGTCCTGTTTCACATTTTCTCCATAAAGCAATTTGTAAACTAAAGCCCCTCTAATGCACGACGTAAATGTAATATGGAAATCTTGTACGATATAGAAACAATGACTTTTAATAGATACCACATAACGTACTACATAACAGCGGATATTCAACTAAAATAATGGCAGATAATCATATTGTGTTTCAATATATTTTCATAGATATTCTTCGTCCATGTTTTGTTACAGCTCCCATAAAGAGAAATCACGTTAAAGCATATTTATAGGAGCATTTATTTATAATTATAACGTTCCCTCGACTCGCCTATAAAGTATAATTATCCATAAATCGTTCATTGACGATGCATGAACGTAAAGATTAGCGAAGGAATTTGCGATGTCACAGGAACTTCGTAAAAAGGTGTATCACTTTGTCAGGGGCCGTATTCGACTTTATAGCAGTTTGGCTGGTATAAAAGATAAGGAACAAAGTGGGCAACCGGGCCATTCGGAAAGAAGTGCCATTAATATTTCATTCTGAAAAAATATGACAAAGTGCACTTTCGAAATGCACACGCTTTGCGTGAAACAGTGGTACTAGAACTTAAAAGTTCTAAAAGCGTCTCACGTTGCAGACATACAAAAATACGGGAAGGATAAGAGAGTTGATCCTTTCGTTTCAGGCGGATCTTCGCCAAAGCCTTTTAAGAGATTCAGGCCTGGGCTAAGGAAAATTAGTTTTCAGACGAAATTGAAGCTGTAGCTGCTGAATATATATTTTAAACATTTCTATATAAAATCATTTCAAGAATGAATATTTGTCAAATTTTCTATTCCGTGTTTCTAGATTAACTTCAATTTGTAATATAATGGTGTGTTTTCTTAAGGTTCGTACAATAATATAATAGGATTTAATAAACAGTAGCTTTAAGTTAAAATATCTATATAAAATATGAAAATCAAAAAATGTTTATATCATCTAAACTAAATTTATGAATTTAAATGTTTGATATCCCATAACTAGTCGTGTCGATATTACTATTTCAAAAAGAATAACAATTAACAGACTATAGAGATATGATCCATAAATGGAAAAAGAAACACTATAGATATCAAAAGGAGTGCAAAGTCTGTTTAAATTTTTTATATAATTTCTGTTGAAAGAAATATTATTCTTCGTTATATACGTATGAGATTATATTGGAATTTTCCTATTATCGAATGGTTTCGCACTTTAACATTAATACATACTCCAAACTTTCCACGTATAAAATTTTTCCTTTTCTTATTCTACGTATGGTAAATTCCAACGTTAGCTGGTAGCTTTAAAGTACACACAAACACACACCTCACATAGCGCTTTCAAGCGTTCAAGAACTTTCACAACATTCCTTGAAAGTAAATTTATGTATCTTCACGCGCGATGCTAGTTTAACGAATATAACGTTAAAAAGGGAAATAAGAGAAAAGCGTGTTGTGCAAAGCTCTTGAATGGCGTTACGTTAAAAATAAAGGTGATGCAAATTTAAATTATTTCATCCTTGTATTGACGAAAATCCTGGAAAATACATGCTCTTGCTCAAATATTTGGAGCATGTCTTAATTTCAAAAGAAATTACTTTCTTCTATGAAAGATATTTTATCCGTAATTTTATTCGTAACATTATCTTTTCGTTGCATTACGCTTATGTATTAATTATACAACGCGATTCAGTAATATCAGGAAAGATACTGTCATATGAAACAATTTTATTCTATATTTGTCTCACCGATCGTACCATTATTACCACGGAACATCCTGTATTTAAAAATGAAAGCCATAATGTTCTTATTTCTCAGAGAAACGTACGTTCAAACGGCGAAAGGTGATCCAAACTTTTGAACGAGAGTCTACGTTCAGAAAATAATGACGACAACGATATAAATTCATAGTATCAAGAAATGCCTATATGGCAATAAATCCCAAGCTACTTCCTTTACGCAATAAATTTCCCTTAGAAATTCTGATATTAAGTCCGTGTGCACTACATGAAATGTGTGTCGACCTTTTTCCAGCTTAATGGAAGCTTCGAAATCTCTAATTGACATTTCTCGATATTACCGAACCAGGGTCGCTATTGGTTTTCGATGCGTTGACAGTAAAACACTTTTGGTTAGTCCCTGAAACGACCACTGATAATTAAAGACCGAAGCTTAGCAAACGTATACGAGGAGTTGTTTTAGGGTTAGGTATCGGCTAGTTTATTTAATGGAATATACTTTTTTTTTCGTTCGCACAATATAGGCTATCTTGTATATACGAATTTATATGACAGAAGAGCTAATAAATAGAAGGGAGAATAATGTTTATGTCTACTTGGCAATAAATAAGTTGCCAGTTTTGGTTTAGTTTAACAAAATGTCAGCGAAAGATATAACACACGTCGACATAAAAGAATAAAAAATAATAGACATATTTCAATGTCATTGAGTGTATATGTTTCATCTGTAACCACTCAAAAACATACAGAAAATGAAAAGCAAATGTCGCAGTTTGCGTAGATACAGCAACATGTAAGTTAAATTCAGCAAAATTGGATGAAACGCGTGTTACAACTCTAAGCTGTTGAAGCGGGACATTTTAGTCCTATGTAGTCCTATGTAAATTCTTCTTCCTTCTCACTTTTTTATATATTAGTTTCTATATTACAATTTCAACGATTCATCCATGTTATTGCATTACGTTATAGTTCCCATTTGAATAATATTGTTAAATAAATGTTATATTGCCAAAAGTTGTTAGAATGTTTATTATATTTTTCATTCATATGCATGTTTTGCTACTTTTATAATGAGAAATGAATAATTCAGATGGTAATGTGTGCATATAATATAATAATAATAATAATGCATGTTATAAAATTCAAGCATTTTGTATATCACCAAAAAAAGTTCAAACAAAGTGGTGATTTGTTTCTACAAAGTGTTACATCAAACATTGTACTTTAAATATTTTATATATTTTTACATGCTGTGTATAATGTATTAAATTTCCCATAAATGTATAAAAATCACAGTTAATTTGGATAATCAAAATCCTACTGTATTTCATATTTTATATAGTATGTATATGTATATAGTATGTATGATATACCATATATAATATATACCATATGTATAAATACCCATCTTATTTAGTTTTCTTTTCTTGCTTCATCATGCCCTCGACATGTTGATATATTGTCGTTGATCATAACGATACTAATATTTATATCTTATACGCAATTTATCTAGATAAGTGGGTAAAGTAAATAACTTATTTTTGCTAGAGAGCAGTAATTTACACAGGACGATCGCAATATTGCTTACGTATTTTTGTTTTATATTTTTCTTATTTCTACTATATCGATATTGATTTCGATATTAATAAACGACTTTAATACTAGTACAGTCTATCAGGGCCACAAGGTATATTATTTTATAATAGAACAATCAATTACTAAATCTATATTTTAAAAAGAAACTGGCGTGACAATAGAGATATAAAAAGATATAGGTATAAAAATATAGGAGATATACAAAACACATATTGGTAGGTGAAGAATTCGTTAGCTTTTTTTTCGCTTTTGAAACAGTTTTAAAAGTGCGAAATAATATAAAAATATCAGATATCGATATTTAAATTTTTCTCTGCGTGGCATACGATACTTTTAACAGTTTTAGCTATGCATTCAAGCGTTTACTCCGAGCGTGAATTTGCAAAGCCAGAAAGCTATACATTTTGAGCAGGTTGTTCCATTCCATTTTCACAGAGGAATTTTAAATGCGCAAGTTTCCTTTTATAATAATTCACGGAATACGTAAAAGGAATAAGCCAAGGAGAAAAGTTGTGCATTAATGCTTACGACGTGCCTAACTTCCTACTTCCTGGGAAGATTGTAGGAAGGACGTTACTCGGAAGATATAAAAGTAGAACCTATTGGACATAATGTCACATAACTTACTAAGTATGTGAGAAATCTGAGAAAGTACTATCTTTTTAAAGGTTTATCCTGGCTAAAGGCTGGAAATTTATATAATTTATCTCAGTTAGAAAAATGTGTTATATAATTTCTTATACTCGTTTAAACCTACATTCGTTTGTTATATGATTGCGCTAATAAGAAATTCCATGTGTGATTTTGTGTGTTTTATATGCGATACGCGTCTAGACTATAAGCTCGTTGACCAAAAAAGTTTTACATCGTCTCATTGAACTTCTCAAATGGTTCGCTTCATGCTTCAAATATCAACGACCTACCTCTCATCGAGTTTGAACGACGATCTCGACAGATCACCCCATGCACTCATGCTTCTGCTGCGTCTCCTGCAGGAGGATTGAGGAGCGAGTAACCTTGAGCTGCTCCGTCTCCTGGTGGAGGCCAAATTCTCTGCCTGGAAGTAGACCCTCGGCGGATGCGTCTTCTGCTGTGCATTTGGCGGCGTGGAAGTAGGTGTGACGGCCGCCGAGGTATGGAGTTCCGGCAGTGCCTCGTAGTCCCATGCTCTAGCGCCCATCTCGAGTAAAGGAACCGACGAGGCAGCGTTTTGGCCTCGAAGAGGATCCCGAGGCTTACGCTGATGAAACAGGGCGAACAGTTGACGGAACGCCGACTCGTTCGCCCGATGTTCCTTCTTTCCTGGTGGAAGCTTCACTTTGTTGCGCGTGATCGTACAACTAGCGTACGAATCGATCTATGATGTCCCTCCGATAACATCATCCTCAAATTGCCACCCTCACATTGCGGACTACGTCATGGGAATATGATGCGTCCAAACGTCGTATTTCAATAAATCGCGAATTACTTTCAAACAGTCAAACCGATCGCACAACTTGAAATCGTTTTCCATCATGATTAGCAGATTAATAAAATCACGATATAGAATCGAATATTGTAATTATTTGATTCTTTATTTTTGATCCTTTTTTGCTTTCTGCTTTCCTCTGTTCCTTACGATAATTTATATTATGAATATTGATTTTGATTTTTTAATCCTTTTCTCCTTTTGCTTCTTTCTGTTCCTTAAAACGATTTATATTAGGAATTCTTTATGTTATGAATTTAATCACTTCGAAAGCAATTTGTACTCGCTTCGAGGTATCAATATAATTTCTAATCGATACGCTTGATGTATCAAACTCGATGATTGCCACCTTCGGTGGCGAAGCGTTACATCCTTAGGAACATATTATTCTTCCTTTGCAGGTCGTTGACAAAAGTTGGAATTATCTCTCGAAAACGTTCTCTCGTGCAAACGATCAAATAAATTGTTCTCCGACTGTAAAAGTTTGTCCGAATGCTTTCGAATTGGAGGAATTCGTTAATTGAATTTCTCTTAACTTCGCTGGAACGTGTAAACTATGTAACCTCTATATAATGTATGTTTACAATTAATTAATTAAGAGTTAAATATTGGCAATTAAGCGTGGGAAATTAATAACTATCCACTTTGAAATTTGCTTTATTAAACGTTTCGTAGAACGTTTGGATGAAACGTGAAATTACGCTTCGATTGAAAAATGCAAATTTTCGTTTAGAATCGATCGACAGAATCGTATTTTAGAAATTTCTCAGGGCTGGTGACCCCAGTTAACAAGTGCAGTGCTCTTACAATATACTCTATGCCTTACGATCAAAATCATTACAACATTTCGATATATTTCTGTATATTCTCGACATAAATGCAATATCAATGTAAGGAAAATTGTTTAAAAATAGGTGCGAAATAACGTTTCGCATATATTGCATAACTATGCAACAGCTATTAACCAATCTAGCGTAACTATCAAATGTGAGCAACTTCAACAACAATCTCAAAAGTATCCTCTAAGTATCCTCTATCATCTATGTTTAACAATAATCTTCAAAAATTTAACGAGTGTAGCAAGTCTGCTGAAAAAGGTTTCGTTCAACAGTTATCAACTTTTTAATTGATGTCAAATAACAGTCAATCTCGTGGTTATTGCCATTATATCGATAAACATTATAATGCTGCATTAACAGTCGATGCACTGAAGCTACGCGATACATTCGATAAATACATTCTCATTATTCCCAATGATGCTAATTTCAGAGAATTCAAATGATCATTGTTATTTGTACAACGCATTGTCAGAACTCTTTTTGATCCATGTGCAAATGCGAATGCTTCCGCCAATGCTTGTTCGTTGTATCGACCAAAAGGAAACGTATCATAAACATATAATTAAACAAATTGCTTTAACGTTCTCAGAGGCGATTTAACTGATCGCTGTGGTTTTAACGACCAGCTTTCCATTCAACAAAAATAGGTAGCAGCTTCTTGTCACGGCAGACTTCTGATTGATCTAAACGAAGTCACGTGATGGTCAGTATCTAAGGTCATGATCATTGCAATATTATTTCATCATATTGTTCTTGATTGAAACATTCGATTGTATGGTGGGAACTATTATAAGCGTTTGATTAGAAATGTTGCGACAAGTTGCAAAGCGATCAGCTTTATATTGCCCACTAATCTCCTAGAAAGAGCATCGTTATGGCTTGCCGAGTACTGTGCGTGTTTCGAAATTATTTTTGATGTTACCTTCAGATTTCGTCCATAATGTAAATCTCTGAATGTACGTTAGCACAAACGTCATATGCTTCACGGATAAATAACGACCGTACACTTGAAAACAACACACGATATAGATTTTCCTTCTTTCGTAAACAACGAATAGTTATCAATTCGATGAATATTCACTGGAATGTTACTGTCTACTTCGTCTTCATCAATCTCCGTATTCCTCGTTTCATGAACGAACCGCGCATTGTTGGATTTGATCGATACGAGATTATAAGTATAAGAAAAGATTATATGGAACGTTTTCAAGGTAACCACTGATGAATATTAAATCGACGTTCACCGTCGTCGAACGTTAATAATTTTCACAGCCTCGATTGCCATTGGCGAAGAAACGAAGAATCAGCTGATCAGGGCTCATGAGGAAATTTCACGGAACATTTAACCGCTGACAAATATCACCCGGTATTTTCAATATCGCGGTAATGTGGCGCATTTTCCTCCAGCGAAATCCAGAGACAAGTGTCTAAGATCGAGATACCGTGGTTGAACCAGTGAGACATATCGACATGTTACATACTGCATCGGCCTTGACATAACACGAAAGTTACGACATCCCCATAGATTGTCTGAATTACATCCACACACACGACAAAAATATTTTTCCCTCTTACAAAGATCGAACAGTTTCTCAAGGAGATACGTAAAATAACGAAGTTGTACTTGATACCACGTTCAATGGTATGAAAGACTCGTGTTGATGCGATTCATGAGAATCGAAACGTATGAGAATTTTGGTGAATGGAAATGGCGGATCGCAAACCGCTTGGACAAGACACATCAGTCCCGATAACATATCACTGTGGATTGTGTCAGGTTGTCCTCCAGCTCACTGGTTTTTCACTGTCGAGGAGCCAGCTCGCAGCTCACCACCCCGTACTGCGGTACATCGTAGCGGTTTTCTCTCGTGCTCAACCACCCCTTACTCTCTCCTCTCCGATCACCAACATTCGCCCCACTCTTTTCCTGCCTCCTTCTTCAACGTCATGATCCTTCTCCCTTTCTCTCCTTCATTCCGCTTCTCTCTCACTTTGTCCACTCAACTTACTCGCTTTCTCCTGTTCGATGGCTTCCTCTCCATCTCGCTTCCGACAAAACGGCACACATGCACGTGGCGCCGCCGTTGTCAAGGCGACTGCGCTGCACGAGATGCTTCTAATGTACGTACGTTTTTGTGTCATCATCATTTACTTACGCGAGATCCTTCCTATCAACTTCGACGTCGCATCGATGTTTGTGATAAATAATCCTGCTTAGGTTGAATGAATCGTGCCTGAGCATATCTTGGGGCCAAAGTGTCACTTATATCGATGTTATTATGGTATACTAGATCGTAATACGAGCTTCAGAACGAGTTCATATTTCGAACTTATGTTACATTAAGAATTCTTCGAAACTCATAAAAGTGCTATATGATTTACATATGATTATTTTATAATATCTTCATAAATAACACGTGTCTCTCGACGAATGGGTGAACTTTACTTCCTGAAGTAACAAAATGTAATTTTTGCTTTAAATTACATGGGATAATTATCTTCGTATTTTGTTAAATTATGATAAAGGTGTATATAGCCAGTAAGGGCAGTCACTGTTACATAATTCGATAGAAAAGATAGAAATGTTTTTTTTTATCTTTTCTGTTTTCTTCTTTCAAGATCGTCGTTAAAATTGTCATTTTTTCATTAAAGATTTTCTTAAAAGTTGTCTAAAACGCTACTTTCACCCAATAATGTCGTCCCGATAGTTTTAAACGAACCAGTATAAATTCGTACCAGATTAAATTCTGTAACGTCGAAGGTTATACGCAGTGAGAGCGAAATTATTTGGGAATAACACAGCCGGATGAATGGACAACCGGAGTACAGCATCGATTCGCGCCGGGAAAAGCTGAATTTGCGTATCAAGCCTGCGCACTGATGGCTAACGTAACGCGGAAAGCTCGGACTTTCAATACGCCACGTGGTTCACCTCTCGAGATACTCAACTTTCGCATGACTTAAAATAAAGTTACGAAAGTATGTATGTAAAGTTGATTTAACAACAAAAGTGGTTAGTTTATAAAGTATAAGGAAAATACAATAGTTTTTTAAACTAAAATCTGTCATTTAAGATCTAATATTACACTGGAAGAATAAAATGGATATTTCGTGATCAGAAATTGTTGACTGTTGGAGACATGTACGATAATTTAACAAGTGATATTAGTAAATTAATAAGTTGAAAATTATAGACTTCCATTTTTACCGTTAAATAATATTTCGTTAAATAAAATATTCAGGTAACTTGCAATTTGAAAAAATTATTGTACGGTTTCTTTTGCCTTTAATATCAAGCTTGTTATTGTTATAAAAAGATATTTATTAATATTGGTAATATTGTTAACTTGTACTGTAAAAGCAATATATCATATATTATATTTTAAATTATACGAAAAACTTATGATTAGAAAAAGAATATAAAAGTTACCACGGTCTTTATCTTATGAAAAACCTAGCAACGTCAAGCAGCGCACTCTACATAAGAGCGGAAGCGTTATAACGCTGAGTAGGAAATATAAAACTCGCAAGCTCAAAAGCTTTATAAATTCCGTAAAAGCAGTCGATAAGGTAGAAAGATGTTGTTTTTCTCCATAAGCATACTTTGATCCTTGGTTCAAAGAAATCTACTCCTTTGATCTATGAAGATTTTTTTCAAAAAACAGGTACGCGAAAACATAAAAGAATCAGATTTCAATAAATAATTTGTTTCAAAGCGTGCAAAGAAGCGCGTTTTCCGAGAGTCAGAAAATAAGTAACATTAGATTTTTGCCGGGAAACTTCAGAAATGATTCTTAAGGAACCAAAAAGTTCTACTTTACCTACATAAGAGTAATTTAGAAAGAGTTATCAATAGATAGAGACAAAATTATTTTTTAATTCATTATTTTCGTTTTCTGAAACAATTACAAATATTTAAAGTAATTGATATTCATTTTTAAAAACATAATTCGCTATATGAATACTACGGAAAAGAAACATGACGAGTCATGCCTCCTTCTCCAAATTGAATACATCGCTAATTGACATATGCATATTAACTACATTTTTATTTAATTTGAATATCAATTACCTGATTAATGAAATATGTGCTATTTATGAATATTAAAAAAGATATTGAATATCATAATATTATGTATCCCGTTGTGTTATACAAAATTTCTTGGAATCAGAGAATCAACAAGTGTAGAACTATCATGTTTTTTCCGAGTAGCTTTTATATGAAAAAAAATGAATTAATAGTTGCATATTTATTATAGTAATAATTACATAACAACGCACTACGTGCAGTGCAAGAGTTTGTAACAACAACACAGTTGGATTGTTTTGTCCAATTTATCGAACCTGTTTGCCAAATGTTCAAAATCCATTAATTGTGATTACTTTCGAGTACGCTTATACAGTAATCGTCAGTAACAAGGTATAGTATTCTTCGTGCTATTGCATAGTTCAGGGAATTGAACATACGCGGAAATGAATAGATGCATCGATTAACAGAACTAATACCACAGTAATATAGGGTATTGACTATCTTATCAACTGTAATTTTCTTTTAAGCAGAGAATAATAAAAGTAGTGCTAAAATTTTCATAGACGAAAATATGTTCACGACATTTATTTAAGAATTTATAATGAATAATTTATCTACTCTGTGTGTGTATGTGTGTGAATATTAGAAATAAATAATATATTTAATTGTAAAAATGTGATAAAATTGTCGAGGTACTTGAATATAATTTTGATAACATTTAATTAATCTCACAGAATTAAGTCAGATGACATTTACGTCCCACATACTAAGGTAGGAAAATTAAAAAAAGAGTGAAGCAATTTTCCTAAGTACCCTTGCACTGAAAGGACTTTAATAATTCGTAACTGTAATTACAGTAACAAAGGCGAACGTTTCACTTTGGTCTCCTATATTCATGATCTATTCTCTATGAAGGGAATTTTATAGAATGGCTTAAATTAAAATAGAAAATGAATTAAATTAAAACTGTAGATTGAATCGTTTACGGCAACAATTCAAGATTTCCCCTAATTATCTAGATATTTTAAGTAACTTATTAATGTGATGTAAGAAAATTTGTAATTAACATCATACCATTTTCCACTGCAACTATTGATTTGATTGATTCTAAACTATGGTTTTGGTATATTCTTTTTTAATCTCTTTTAGTACTTTCATCATATTCGCACTTCATTTCAATTTAATTTCTAACTGCCCCTTCTAGCATGTACAACTTTATGAGTTCGTATCTGTGAAATTATAACTCCGAGCTGAAAGTGAATTTTGTTTAATCAGCCGAGAAAAAAGCGAAGGTGAACATATTCTCATAGGAGAAATGACTGTAAAAGAGAAGTTCGCCAACTTAAATCACGCCAGGACCCAGGGTAATAGTAATATAGTCCTGATAAACTTTTTAATATTCACAACACAATACAAACGCAATTTTGTTGGAATCTTAGATAACAAGAATAACATGATATTGAACATTTCATAGTATTTTTAATAATCATTAGTATTTAAAACAATGATATAATTAAATAATTATTTCCTTATATATAGCTTTGTTTGGTATTTTTCAACATATCATGACTAACTTTCTTTTCGCGATTCCATCATTAAATTATTACAATCAAGGAAACCAAATATATATTCCTGTAAGAAGTGATTATGATCAAGAAACGCCACGGCATGTTGCCTTATTCATTACTCTAGATATCCCATTACTATATTGATTTTCAATCGAATCATTGAACTTTCTTAATATTTATAACATTTTTCTTTCTTTCATTAATCATTTCTTTGAACTGTCCAAAACGTTTACTTATGCCGTCTTTCATATACATCAAAATTAAAGACTATCCTCAATATATGTTTGAACATACTTATAAAATCATAATTATAAAAGTGTATACTTTATAGTCATATAATATAGAAATCTTTCCTAACATTAAGAAGTAATAAATAAATATATTCTATATTCTTCACTATAGAAAATAGTCACAAAAATTATCATTATTATTAAAAGGAACACACTATAAAAATTATAAATCATACGTCTTGATAAACTTCATATAAGCACACGTATATTACGATGCCAAATGTTGAAACATGTCCCAAACACATGGTCATTTTGTAGCTTGTTTGAATACATTGGAGGATTGCAAAAATGCAAACACCGCACAATATATGTTAGTAGAGACATCAGCGACTCAAACAGATTTTCAAGAAATATCTCTATCATTTGTTCTCGGAAGAAAGATTCCACCAACGACCAAGATTCGAAATATCGATTTCCATGGCAACCGGTTTTGTCGAGTTTGTAGTTTGTCATTGTCGTTGAACGATACGTGGGCAAGTATAGACGGTGCCTTCAATTTCCTGCCAACCGGAGATGCAAAGACAATTGCAACTTCGAAAGGTTGACCATTTAGGCGAGGAGATGTCTCGTTTCCAACTATCTCCTTTAATCACGAATTTCCTTGACGAAGAACAGAGAATCGAAACGAGAAGTTAAAAAGCATGTTGGTAATAAAGAGCTCGTTCATCGACACCTGTATGTAAATCTCAGAACGCGCGTGTTTCAAAGAAAATTGTATCTTGCAGATATCAAGAAAAGGCGAAAGGAGGTTTTAAATCATATCCGAGTAAACGGTTAAAATGAAATAACGCGCCATCTTACAACTTAACCGCCTTTGAAATTAGGAATTATTCGTTATTATATTCTTAACTAGAGATCTTCTCTGACAACGAAATTTCAAACGAGTTTGCACAAGTTTAAAGAGAATTTCGATAGAGGAATATCGTTCTATTTAAATTCATAAACTGTTTGACTGTTAATATTTATAGCTGCCTTTGATGGTACTTACAAATAAATTTACGAATAAATATGTATAAATGTATTCCCTGTTTTAAGATCTACTGTATGAA